GGATGTAATTGCTGTTACAGGAACTTGGCTGACACAGTCCGTAGACTAAGGGTGATCTAATTTTGATGAACACAATACTGAGAAATGATTTTGGACCTAAATTATTTTCTCTTATTCTTCCCACTAGACCGGGAAATCTCAAAGGACATATCAAGAGAGAAGAAAATTCAAGAACGAACAAAATACCCGTGGCATACGGGTTTTCACACTGAGTCATCAATACTTTGAACCTGTTGCTCCAAGCAGTGGTGTCCACACCTTCAATTGACTCTTTCAAGAGAAGACTGGACACTCACAGAGGCATACTAGAAAAGGATTAACGTAGGTCGTAGGCCTTCTGTCTTTACTATGGAATTGGACATTGAAGACTTCACATTAGTAAGCGTACACAGACTCCAGAAGCGCAAAGAAGGATTAGCTCAGTTCATCAGAAATACTATCTCATTTACTGTGATTACTAACATATCCCAGAAAAGTGGTAGTTGAAAATTAGTTAGTTGTCGCTTGAAATAATAAGTACAAGAGCTGCTGATTGATTTTGTCTACTGTAGTCCAAAATATGAGTTGAATGAGGTCTTACTAGATATTTTTAACACTCGGTTATCGAGTTTTCAATTTTTGATTTTAGAAAACCTTATTGTACTTGCTGTACACTGGAAAAATCTGTGAACCGTATTGTCAGAAAATCCATTCGAACAGTGAATAATTGAACCGTTTGGACCATTGTTGCGCTTATCTCCAAGGTCACTTGAACAGCGCTTAAAGGTCGTCCTCGAATTATAGTCTCATAAGCCTGAGTGGATTACTTTTCGTTCTGAGTATCTTTGAATTAACAGTTAGTTGAGATCGGGCCTGGGATAAATACTCGCTGTCTACGGTTCCTTACGATAAGAGGTCATTAATAATATATTTCGGGTATGTTTACCACCTGTCTTGACAATTTTTTTCATGGATATAAACCTTTTGTACCTATTCGATCAACAACTTATGCTTCATCATTATCAATAAAACACCTGTAAGCGACACGACCATTGATTTGCCATCATATGTGGTATGCGATGCCACGAATGCACGGATTGGCTTCATGAGGTATGCATGGATTTCACAGCAACTGACTACAATAGGCTCATCAAGTCTGATGGCAGGTGGGTAATAGACACAGACAATATGGATTTTGAGGACATGCTGAGTGATATAATCAGTCTTCCGACCGGATTGAGGGAAATATTAGCATCTCTGAAAGAAAACAGGCATGTTTTGTTGTGCAAATAAGACGTTACTAATACAAGAGGCTATGAGCCTACTGGCTTTGGCTTGTAAGAAAAACGATAGGGCATGCACTGATAACATGAGCACTGACAGTGACGAATGTGTCAGTGTAGTAGTACCTGCTGTTACAAGACGCCTCAAACACCCCAATTTGATTGACGGGAAAGTGAAATCTCCTTTAATATTACCGAGGGAAGAAGCACCACCTGAAACTAACATCAGTAACCAGGTGCCTCTAGTGGACACTGAAGATCTGAATAAGACCGTCACTGTTCCAAATAGTCCCGGTGTACTGAAGGATGAAAAATGGACTACAGTACGGAATAAACGAAGTGAAAAGAAAAAGGCTGTGGGCAATGCGCAGGTAGTTAGCAAGTCATTGGTGAACTCCCATTGTGAGTCACAAAACGTACTACCGAAATCTGATAGAAAGAGGGAAAACCACCCAGGTGTGACTGAAAAAAAGAATCTGATATCATCGAATATTATTGTTAGCAAATTACTGGAGTCAAACGACCCTGACCCCAAAATTAGACATGCGCATGATTTAGAGAAGTTGGGAGATTATATTCGTAGTATCTTACCGGATAACTCTAAAGGAGTCCAGGTCAAAAAGCTGGTAAGAATAGGCAAGAGGACCGAAAACAATGCTGAACCTCGTCCATGTAGACTCCTTAAGGTAATCCTAGGATCAGAGACGCAACGGGACCTCCTGTTAAGTAATGCTCGTTGTCACGACAATTCTGATATCCGAGTTAGACCTGATATGTCTCTCGAAGACAGAATAAAAAGAAAGAAAGCACTAGCTGAACTAGAAATCCGCCAACAAAATGGTGAGAAAAATCTCCGGTTAGTGGGTTTTCGGATAGTCAAGTCTTGGAAGCGAATGCTACCAAGGCCTGTATGGATAGGCCGTTCTACCTAGGAGTCTTATATGCCAATGCTCGTAGTCTAAGAAATAAGTTCTATGAGCTAGGAGCATTAGTGGACAGATTAAGGCCACTCATCGTAGCAGTGACAGAAACTTGGTTAGTCCATAACTTCGACATTACTCCAGAACTATCGGGATACCATTACCTAAGGAGTGATAGACATAGTTGTAGAAAAGGAGGTGGTGTCCTGTTATATATATCCAATAGTATAAATATACGCTCCTTTGTTAGCGAATCCCATGACAGCGGTACTTGTGAAGTTATTAGCTGTAAATTGGATATCGGATGTAGTACGTTTATGCTCGGTGTCATCTATCGCAGCCCAATCTGTTTAGCCGATGACTTTATTCTAGAGCACATTCATCTTTGGAGTACCAATACCAGGTGCTTGATAATAGGAGACTTTAATGCACCTAACATTAGTTGGGCTGAAATGACCACAGAAGGATCTATAAACTCCTTTGAAAATAGGTTCCTGATAACAATAATGGAGCATGCATTAGTGCAGCATGTATCCAAACCTACACGTTTTGGTGCTAACCAAGGTTCTTCTCTGTTGGACTTGGTAATCACTCATGATACTGAAGATATTGTCGACCTAAATGTTCTCCCACCGTTAGCGAACAGTGATCACGCTGTTTTGTCCTTCTCGTTTAGAACTAGGGACATGTTATACGATCAGGTCACACCCCGCCCAAATATATGGAAAGCTAACATATCAGCCATTCAGGAATGCGCTGCTAAGACAGATTGGTTTGTAGATACTAGCTTATCAGTTGAAGAAGCATGGTCTGTATTCAAAGGTAAGTTTAGTTTAGTTACGTCCTCGTTCATACCATACCTGATACCGCGAAGACCGAATAATAGTCCACCATGGATAACCAAACCAGTTAAGAAACTTCTTAGAAGAAGGAAGAAGCACTGGAATATGTTCATCTCTACGGGCTTAGAACAATACCGATCCAGTTATTGTAAGACTAGGAATGCCTGTAAAGCTTTAATAAGTAAGACTAGACGATCATACGAAAAGCAATTGGTTAGGGATTCTAAATATAGTTCGAAACGGTTATTCTCGTATATAAAAAGACGAACTCAGAGAAGTGATGGAATTCCATCACTTTTGATACAAGAAAATCCGTTAATCTTGGCAGAGAATGATACAGAAAAAGCTGAAGCTTTATCGAAATATTTCAGTAAAGTGTTTTCTATCACTAATGAGGAACGACCAACGATTCATTATGACCGTAACGGCTCGCTGATGGATCCTGTGGTCATTGAGAAAGGTACTGTTTTAAGGCTACTTCAGCATATCAAACCTGATAAGTCTAGTGGTCCTGATAATATTCATCCTAGGATTATGAAAGCCATATCAGACGTAATTGCTGAACCATTGGCGATACTGTTTGACATGTCTCTGAAGCAGTCCAAACTGCCCAGAGACTGGAAAGACGCTATAATAAGTCCGGTGTACAAGGCTGGGAGTAGGGACTTAGTTAGTAACTATAGACCCGTTAGCTTAACGAGTGCAGTTGTAAAACTGATGGAAAAATGCATTCGGATATCTGTTATAAGCTATGTTGAAAGGCATAATATTTTCTCCAGGGAACAACATGGTTTTCGGAGAGGCCTATCGTGCTTGACATATCTTCTCATCGCAAGAGAAGATTGGGCTGCTGCAAAAGATCAGAATATTCCAGTAGATGTGATCTTCATAGATCTTAGTAAGGCTTTCGATAAGGTCTCTCATTCTGGTCTTAGACTCAAACTGGAACTCTTCGGAATCCATTATACAGTCGTAGATTGGATAAGTAACTTTCTCCATGACAGGAGACAAAGGGTAAGGGTAAATGGGACTCTTTCCTCGTGGGTGCCTGTGAAAAGTGGAGTTCCCCAAGGTACCATCCTCGGTCCTCTTCTCTTTTTACTTTATGTAAATGAATTACCAACTGTAGCAAAATCATCCATTCTACTATTCGCTGATGACATAAAAATTTGGAGACCCATACACAGTATGTCAGATAGAATAGTATTACAGAATGATCTTAGCTCATTGGTGGCATGGTTAGATAGGTGGTCACTTGAAGTTAATCCAAATAAGAGCGTGGTGATGCAATTAAATGACAATGATGAATCGTATCACTATAAAATACGTGGATTCGTACTACCCAAAGTAAGAAACTACAAAGATTTGGGAGTCATATTAAGTAGTGATCTCAAAACCACTAGTCACTGTAAGGCTGCTGCTGCAAAAGGCTATAGAATATTATGGTCTATTCGTAGGTCTTTTCAGTATTTAGATGACGAAATGTTTAGACTACTATACCCGATTTATGTGAGACCACATTTAGAATATGGAATTCAAGCAGCAAGTCCTTGTTTCAAGTACGAAGCAGATATGCTAGAGCGAGTCCAACGACGAGGTACTAAGATGGTACAAGGTCTATCTGGACTATCTTATGAAGACAGATTGAGACACCTCAACCTATTTCCTTTATCTTACCGTCGAATTCGGGGTGATCTAATATTGGCTTATCGTATACTGAACGATGACCTTGGTATTAACATGTCTTATCTTTTACTTCCGTCTAGGACTGATCGTTTGAGAGGACACTCAAAAAAAATTCAAAAACCGAGATCAAATCGTTTACGTCTGGAGTTTCGTTTCTCTCATCGAGTAGTGAATTATTGGAATTCTCTACCGGAACACGTAATATCAGCACCTTCTGTTGATATATTCAAGACGAGATTGGACCTCCACAGTATTACAAACTGCAAGGATTAATACAGGTCGATAGACCTCCTATCCTTATTACTGAAGACTGACTGAAGACTGAAGACTGAAAAAGCATAACCGACGAAAGATAAGCGGCGGGCGCCGAATTCACTCGAGATATACTGAGACTCATCACCACAACAACATCAACGGTGTTAGATTTCACTCGTCAAGCTTTCATCTTCCAGATTAACCCCTCCAAATGCAACTGTGGTGTCTAGGATGATTAACATAGACCACTAGACCCCCATAAATAGTGTTAGAAAATTCACGATTGAAAGTTCTTAAAGCCTAGGTCTTGTAGAAATTCATTTAGTAATTCGACCGCATAATCTACTACTAAGATTGTCCTACCGTGAAGCAAAAAGAACCTCGACCTCTACGTACCCAGAAACTTAGGAAATCAATCAAGGTTCATGATAATCCCTTAATAGTCATTAATCTAGGAGACTGCTCTGATATTCTCCTCAGTTAACAGGACAAAGATGATAGGACGTTTTCGGATGATCTAAATAAGAAGCTCAAGTTTCTCGAAATTAATCTAACAATAGCCGTACAACTTACCCGAAGCAAGGATACGAAGCTTCTGAGACTCCGCGTTACATTCGCTAGTGCTGACGGCGTGGTGGATATTTTACTTTTCAGTTAATTGCTTGAATCTGAAAGATATGAGATTCTTGTAGGAAATGCAATCTTTGTAGCTCACGTCCGCCAGCATCCTCTACTACCTTTCCCCATAATGTGACGTAGTCAGCATGACATCAAATTTAAATAAGTACGGATCTAGCTCTGAGCTGTGTCGCCTCAATAATTACGGGTCTCCAAGATGGGATTTTAAAATTGCTTCGTACTTTTGGTCGATCGTCAACCAGAAACTCAGTCTAGGTTTGGTACGGCTAGAAAGGTTGGATAACCTGTGTTGTTCCTGATAATGGTCCCTCAATTCTCACTTCTAATGCACTGACCACGTGTTGTAGCAAGGAGTTTCACTGGTCGATGTTTTGATGTGAAAGTTGGTAGTCAGCTGACAAGTAATTGGTTATGAGCTTGTGGACTTTATTGGAATGCCCTCGTAAATTTTCTCCTGTAAGATGGGAAATTATTAAGCGGATTAAAGATAGTGATTAAGTCATGTCTAATCCTTTTGTATTATGAAGAGTAATAGGTTTATTTCAGCCAGCCTCTTGTGCACTGACCGCGAACCTACCCTGGGGTTCTCAACTAGACAATTTTCCAGCCAGATAACTTGGGGCGAACCCATACTGTTTGTTAGTGTCCAACTACAAAATCACTTATTCTTCAAACAAAATTACCGCTCGCCCCAATATTATTCAACTAGGATAGCAGTCTGTTGTATGGGACTTTGTTGAAGTCAATGAAGGCTAAATTTATGAGCAGCATTTGATCTTTCATGTCACACTAACATACTCGTGTTACCAATAAGTTGGTGAGATATGAGTAAACTAAAATTAGAAAATTTGCTTTCCTAAGCAAATGAAAGGGGTGTAATGCAACAGAATAGATATAAACGGAAAGGATCATAAATTTCTGCTCCGAAAGACTTATCGCTCACAGATGGTGTAAAGAAGTGAGATGCTGAAACAGTGATACAGCTGAAATTAAATGCCGGAGATAAAGATCTCAAAAATATGGATTTTAGGGAGTTCGGGCTCCTGAAGCGAACAATTCCTAAGCCGGTTTGGGCGCAGTACTAATTCGTTTAATTGGTTTTCATGTTACAAAAATTTTCAGAGCTTGCTTAACAAATCATTACAACTCTGCACACAGACAGGCTCTAGTGAGCTGTATGTAATCACCGTGACGATCTTGGCTAATTCAGTCGATAGAGTACGCGAGTTCGAGAAATTCGAATAAGAGGTGGTTAAAACCAAAAGCATAAAAGGCGAGGGTTAACATCATAGCACCTCTTTGGCTGTTGTGATTGTCGATCAATAGTTAGTGATTTGGTTGTGTTCCTGTTTTCACTAATATCATTCATAATAATTCGAAGTATTTTTCGTTTTAAATTAACCACTCAGTGTTGTAAACCACGATATCTTTTATTTATCTGATCCCCTTTCGCAAATACTTCTGATGAATTGCTAACTTTATATCATGTGTTCCTATCTGTTTATTAATCAGTCACCTCACTGTTTCCGTTAAATTGTGTTAATATTCTAGTCTTTAAATGCTTCTATCAAGTGTCCGTTGTGGACGTTTCATACCCTGGAAATCAATTCCCGGTAGTGTTTGGGGTGGTAAACAACGGAAAATCCCCCGTTTAACTAATGCGCGTAAAGAAGCGTTTTTGGATGAGCTTCTTATTTCTCGCCAAAACCATATGTACCTTCAGAAACCATATTTCAATGAAGAAGTTGAAGCTGCTACTCTAGCTGATGAGAAAGTGAGTTCCTCTTTATTTTTCTTTTAGTTCTAAGGTTTTTAGTAGGAAAACATATTTTAAGTCTAAATATAATTATGAATTCTAAAATAACTTCCATTGGGTATTGTTAACCGAAAAGCCAGTTAAAATTAGTGCAACTTCTACATTGACCATGGATAGAACAGTTCCATCCATTAAGTGGTATAGAAAGCCTTTTATGTGTCTAAATAGAGATAATTAAAGTAACTCAATGGATTTTTCAAAAGTTGCTCCGAAATTATAAGTGTACCAGTGAGGAGGTAAGTCAAAAAGTAGGAAAAAAACTAAAGCCGTTTATATATGCGCCACAAAAAATTTTATTTGTGTGTGGGCTGTGACACTGCTCGGGTTCCCAGACCGAAGTAGGTGGTTTTGTTAGGGGGCCACACCCCGAGCCTTGGACCCAAAGGTCTGACCCACAAGGCAGTGGAGCATCGTAAGGAGATGCAGTCCCATGGAAGCCGGTGACCAAGAAATTGGTTCATACGCCATTTGTTCTCGCAGGATACTGGAGCCCATGTGCACCATTGGTTTTGGATCCGGTTAAAGTGCAGGACATTCGCTTTTCGTCCTCTCATTTTCGTAAACAATAGTAATGCCACGAGAGGGTAGTTCAGTGAGTAGGACTTCCCTGGCAGAGGCTGTATACGTGTGGCCATGTGAGATTATTTCGAGAGGGAGGGCGGGCCCACCATACTCTCGGCCATACCAGGGCATATGGGGGCACGTATAAATATGAACTTTTGTTTAACATTTTCATCATCATTTCATTTGTTTTTTTTATACTACTCATTCTGTATGATGTCATCTATTATTTAAACCTGTTTTCTATTTTTTTATTTGAACACATAAATATTGGTACAAGGGGGCACCAAATATATATGCGCCACACAATTTAAACCTGTTAACATTCGTTGTGTGCAACCCAATAACAAACGATGTATTACTTTTGACATTGTATACCCACGTGATTGATTGAAGTTTAGTCTAATGATTCTGTAATTTTCACGTCTGAAACTTTTCCGATCATACATAATTAGGACTAAGTTTCTATCCACCGATCAATCAACTAAGTATTGGAAATGAAAGTTAAGAAACTTTTAGATAATTAAGTGACATTGAAGAAAATGATCCCTTCAAATTCTTGATTGCACCTATTTCAGTTTAGGCGACTGATTAGTACCATTATGTTTAACATCAACAGTACACGTTAATGCTCAGGTGTCTATTTAATTATTGGGACGTAGTTTAAGGCAACAATTCAATAACTACTGTTTGAAAATCTTAAACATTTTAAGCCAGTCAGAGGTTATGTTATTATTAAATGTTAGCTTCTTTTCTCATTATCTTAAATGTTGTACCTTTAATTCTGTATTTTCAAATCCAGATGCGTGAATTGCAAATGGAAGACATGGTTTTCTATGATCGATATGCTCAACAATTCAATCGTCGTTTTCCTACACGTAATCTGGAATCATTTTGGGATAAATTGTCAAGAACGAAACGTTATGATGTTTGATAAATTAGACATGATGTTGATGACATTGTTTTATGAATTCCTGTTTTCTCCATAGTTTACGTTACAAACTATGCAATTATGTATATATTCGAGTTACCATAGATACCGAAAATTCTTATATGACATTTTTCAATAAAAACATCACTTAACCATACACTTGTTTTCCGTCTATATTTCCTTCATAATTGTTTATTATCAATGAAAAGAACTAGAGATCATCGAACAGATATCATCTCTTACTTCAAAGTTGTTTGATAGTGCTTATCTTGTACTTGTTTCGAATTCAAACCTAACTTCTTGAGTCGTGACACGCACACACACAATTTCAATCTTTACAGAACATATGTCATTTCCTGATGTTTATCGTTTCTATTCGTAAATCAGTTTCGTTTACCCCACTACCATTCTGTCATATTTAGTTGTGGCTCAAAACCTCAGCTGTTTATTGTAATGTTTCACAACTAAATTTATCCTACTCCGTCATAGGGATTTGGTGCTTTTCAGAATCGTTATAGAGTGTTAGATTAAAGTTAACCACTGTTTAAATTAATCAATTGTTTTATTGAGATAACCAAACGGCCTCAACAATCTCCACAATCCTATAATTATAATCAGTTGTTGTAGGTTGTTACATTTAGTCGAACACCTATGTGTATGTTTGTCAGTAATTTTTAGTTGAAAGCCACATAAATTCAGGCCGAGAAAATTTGGTGACTAATTAATGACTTACTGAGAAGTAAAAACGTTCTGTGACTCAATATAAATTACTTTGTTTTTACGTTCATTTATCGTTACTTTTTCAAATCAAACGATGGTACAGTATGTAAACGTTACTGCATTAGTGTCTTTCTTTTTGATCGAGTTTTGTTCTCTGAGCTGGATTGTTTGGTCGACCAAACTATTCGTTCTTGTTATGATTTGTGAGCCATGTGCTCCTATCAATATATCGTGATGGGATCGTAGATACGCACTACTGAGGAGTTATATACTAGGACGGAACGGCCGTCCAGTGCTTCCAAGTTTTTCATAGCGGTCCAGCTTCAATAGACTCATGGATTCAACTATAAAATTACTAAAATCTCCATAAAACCCTTTCTGAAAATGCATATATGTTTAAAACACTAATATATAGTATGAACGAAGAATATTGTGGTGGTCGGTATTTAATATGATCCTTAAACTTCGTATACAGTTCGTCCTCATAACCGTCACTCGACAACACCCCAACGGTGTATTAATCAGAAAGCGAATTCGAAGTGTTGATTAAATTTATTATTGTACCACGCGCAGATAACCAAAATTACTGATACGCTAAGCAAGCATCAAAGATTAGTGCCGTAAAACAAGCAGGCAAGCAACTGAACGTACGAGTCGAATGAGCGAGTTAATCAATAGAATTAAAATGTACATATATATATACATAGGGAAATGAATACGTCATTGAGTCAATTAAGCAACCAATAGTAAGACTAGCAGAATGTATATATGGGTAGGCAGTAAACAATCCTCAGGCATACATATTCATAACAGTGTAACAATAATAAAGGTACAATGATATAAGATGAGTTGTTATTGCACGAATGACTATTCGTTAAATAAGTGTTAACAAAAAGGCTTAACCAAATTAAATATGAACAACCGTAATCGAAAGTCAGCTGTTATAATATTCTCTATAGAATCAGAGATTATACATTCAAATTATTAATTGAAATACATTTCAACTGACTCATGATCTCAACTATTAGAATTACTGTAATATCCACAAAACCCCTTCTGATATTAATCAACATATACTCACTAGTGACGGTCTCCAAGATGTATTTCCTGAAGTTCTAGTGAGAAGGAGTGACCAGTGGAGTTCAACCAGGTCTGTTGTGAGATATTAATTCACTGATGACAATGTTGGATGTGTCGCTCAATTTTGTGAATTAGTTGAAGTTAGATAGATAACACCGTTGGATGCCGACCAACTCAGTGGTTTAGAGGTTAATCGTTCGCACGCGAGACTGATAGGTCTTGGGTTCGAATCTCATGAGGCAGGGTCATGGATGTGCACTGTTAAGGAGTGTCACAGTAGGACGAAACGGCCGTCCAGTGCTTCCAGGTTTTTCATGGTGATTTAACTTCAACCGACTCATGATCTTAACCATTGAAATTACTATAATATCAACAAAACCCTTCTGATATGAAATACATAAGTTACTAAATAATACTAAGTAGTATAACATTATAAAGAAAAATAGAACGTGAGAATAATGGAAAATAACGGAGAGAATTAACGGCATCTATGAGATATTTGTTATGTATACGGGACTAAAGTCAAGTTTTCGAGGAATTTCAATGAAACTATTTTGGCATGAGAATTCATGCTACTTGTTATTCAACGGGTTTCCCATTTTTTATTGAGGATTTATCTACTCGATTTTATAAGTTTATAACTGTCGTTGTATTGAACGAAGAAGACTTATGTGGTGACAAACAATTACAGAGTTCTTTCATCAAATATGAAAGCCATACGTTCAAAACTTCATTTGCAAATCCTTCATCAATTGTCTCTTGTTAAAACTTCATCGTTCCTTTATTGTCATAGCGATTACTCTCTGTTCCCATTCTCTTTGATTCGATGATTCCAACTTTCTTCTGACAAGCATTCTAATTCTTACTCGTGTTGCATACTACTTATGTCGACATAAGCAGTATACACCACATCGTCATTAAACAATAGTCAGTGAATGTGTATTATTAAGTCATTAAAAAAATTTCAACTTGTAATAAACCTAAAAGCATCATTCATTATGACGCAAAATTTATCAAGCAATTCACATCTTCAACTTGTTGAAACTACTCGAAGCTGCTTGTATATTGTGGTTAGTTATCATATTCAACCATAAGTTTCTATACGATAGTTAATAAGTCAATTATTCAGATAATTTATTGCAAATTTCCACTTGTAGATGTGTGAATAGTCTATTTAGTGATATAGGTAGATGCTGGAAATGTATAACATTATTATGTACATGAGACCAATAACCCTGTTGTTATGATGGAGAACTATGCTGTGATTATTTATATTGAGTCGATTATCTCAAATTTCGCCCAAAATGAGAATTAAACGATTATAAGAAATTTTATTAGTTGAGATTATGAGTCAATTGAAGCTAGACCACCATGGAAAATCTGGAAGCATTGGAAGGCCGTTCCGTCCTACTGTGAGACTCCTCAGCAATGTGCATCCACGATCCCGCCTCGTGAGACCACTGAGTCGGCCGGCATCCAACGGTGTTATTTATCTAACTTCAACTAATTCACAAAATTGAGCGACACATCCAACATTGTCATCAGTGAGTTACTATCTCACAACTGACCTGATTGAACTCCACTGGTCACTCCTTCTCACTAGAACTTCAGGAAATACATCTTGGAGACCGTCACTAGTGAGTATATGTTGATTAATATCAGAAGGGGTTTTGTGGATGTTATAGTAATTTCAATGGTTAAGATCATGAGTCAGTTTGATATGATGGGAAGAAAACCCATTGTGGTTGCTGCTGACGCTTCAACACAGGGACTGGGTGCCGTACTTTTGCATGTCTTCCGAGATGGCTCAGAGAAAGCGGTGATGCACGCTTCAAGAACACTAACACCTGCTGAGAAACGCTACGGCCAGATCGAGAAGGAAGCGTTAGCCCTAATATTTGCTGTCCGTCGATTCCACAAATTCATTTACGGGCGCCGTTTCACCTTGCTCACAGATCATAAGCCGTTGTTATCAATCTTTGGATCAAAGAAAGGCATTCCTACCCATTCTGCTAATCGTCTTCAACGTTGGGCGTTGGCGTTATTGGGGTACGACTTCGACATCCAGTATCGACGTTCCGAAGATTTCGGCCAAGCAGATGCATTGTCCAGACTTATCAGTAACCATTCTACCACTGATGAGGACACACTCATAGCCACAATATCAACGGAAGAGGATTCCGGTGCTACACTATTAGCGAATGCCCTTCGAGCAATGCCTGTTACCGCTGAAAATGTTCGGGAAGCTACCAGAGAAGACCCGATCATTCAAGAAGCGATCACCTATGTTCAGAGCGGATGGCCAGTTAAGCAGCTGAGTGGTGATATGCAACAACTAGCGAATCGTCGCAGTGCCCTCTGTGTTGTTAACGATTGTCTGATGTTCGGTGATCGCGTAGTAATTCCAACAACCCTACGTCTCAAGGTCCTACGCCAATTTCACTCTGGGCACCCAGGGATAAACCGTATGAAATCCATCGCTCGCAGCTATGCATATTGGCCGAACATGGACAAACAGATTGTCGACTTTGTCAAAAGATGTTCACATTGTCAAACAGCTGCGAAAAATCCCCCTAAGTTGCCTCCAGTACCCTGGCCAAAGTCAGAAAAACCCTGTTCGCGAGTACATATTGACTTCATTGGACCCCTAGATGGTGCCACATATCTGATACTGGTTGATTCCTTCTCCAAATGGCCGGAGATATTGCCGATTGCGCCACCATCTACAACTCGAACCATCAACCTCCTTAATCAGATCTTCGCTCAGCATGGTCTTCCAGAAACAATAGTAACAGACAACGGTTCACAATTCACATCCAGTCAATTCCGAGAATTTTGCATGCAAAACTCAATCAACCATGTCCGTTCTCCGCCATATCACCCTCAATCTAATGGACAAGCTGAAAGGTTCGTTGATACATTTAAACGAGCCATGCTTAAAGCACGAGGGGAGGGGACCACAGAAGATATTATACAACGATTTCTAATGGTGTATCGTACGACTCCACATAACTTATTGCCAAACTTCAAATCCCCCGCTGAGATGCTTATGGGGCGGAAGCTACGAACAGTTCATTGTGCGATGACACCCAAGCAAGTGGCTAAGCAAAGCCCCCAGATGAAGAATACTAGAATTCCCTACAAAGTTGGTACAAAAGTTTATGCGCGGGGTTATAGACACGGGTGTGATCGATGGGTAGAGGGTGAGATCACAAAGAAACATGGGAACGTCATGTACGATGTCAAAGTGAACCAAGAAATCTGGACCAGACACCACAATCAGCTAAGGCTAAGAGAAGCTAAGGAGAAAGAAGCAATTACGAAGCGCATCCCACTCGACTTGTTGTTGGATACTTTTCAACTTCCGCCAATACCTCCAACAGAGACAACAAAGTCATCTACTCAAGTAGAACATCCTTCTGGTTCTGGGTGGTTACCTCGAAGGTCGGGTCGCAAACGAAGACAACCAAAGAAATTACTAGTAAACCCTCGGTTACGTCGCTATTAACTCTTCCAAAGGGAGGTGATATGATGGGAAGAAAAAAATCAATATTCGATTGATTTACTCAATATGAGTTTTACTCATCATTACATCCTTTTTTGATTCAATGTAATGATTACGCAATGTAGTTTTTGCTTTCTTTTCTCGTATGATATTTTATTCTGTATAACATACAATATTCTTGTATTCCATTGACTATGAACTATACTCAGCATATAATTTCTTATCACTGTGAGTATTTTTCATGTATGTGATTTCATTCTTCTAATTATTAATCAAAACGGGTGTACAATCAATATATAAACGAGTGTATTTTCTACTACATTGATTCTTTTTCTGGTTGTTGCAGAATATACTTTCATTCTAAGCTTGGTTTTCTCACTCTAGTAGCGGGGCTGGGACGCGTCAATAGATAGCTTACTGGACCTTGGTCACCGAATCCTCGATCTCGTTCTCAAACTACGTGAACCCATGATCTCTCTCTCTCTTTTCAAACCCTAACACAGTTATTATACCTTGGTAATATTAAAACTATCACCACTACCACTATCATATGTGCTTACTTCATTCACTTATAATGTATTTGTATGTATGTGTGTGTGCGTGCGCGCACATGAAAATCAAATACACTTCTTATCTTTCAGACGAATGGTCATGTGTTGTCATAGCAACGATAAATAACAATTCTATTGATTAGCACCATGAGTCAAAAAGAGTATTTTTTCTATTGGTCATTTGAAAACTGTGCAAAACTAATTTAAACTTGATCATTCACTTTTCTCTTTTTTTTTTAAAATAATAAAAGTTATATTACTTAAACAATGCAAAAGTCTAAAATTACTAATCGATTATGTAGACTACCTGGTCGTTTAGATGGGAAATTAGTTATTGTAACTGGTGCAAATATTGGTTGTGGACTTGAATTAAGCGGAGAATTAGCACGTCGTGGATGTACTGTTATTATGGCATGTCGAGATTTAGAAAAAGGATATTTAGGAAAAGAGGTTCTACTTGATCGATTTGGTGATCGAAGTCAAGAGAAATGGAGAAAATCACCAGCTGGTCCTGGAGTTGAACCATTTCTTGATGTTATTAAAACAGCACAGGTAACTTTTATAGGATTTAATTATTTTTTTAAAAAAAATATTGATTAGTTATGTAAATGGTGTTGGCTAAGTTGAAAATAAATCTAGTCAGGAACTAGAATCAGCTGACAGTTGCATTTTTAAAATTTAATTTTATTATTGGGAAATAATCCGCAGTTGGTGGAGAGGATCGGTAGTTAGGTGGATGATTTTGATGAAGTTTTGTTCTTTGAGCTAGATGGTTTGGTTGTAGAAGTCTATCTGAAGTTTGCACTGATGATGTCGTTCAGAAGAACGATGAAAGTTCTATGACCAAACTCCTCCATCGAAATAATCCGCAGTGTAATAACCACATGGAAAACATCAACATATATTGAAAGCACTAAAAGTGATGTTTCAAGATACCAACTCATTTAGTAGAACTGTGGATTATAAAACATTCCCGAATCTCGGCAAAAATTACATAGTGTTTCACCAGAATGTGTGAAATCCTTCAAAGACAACTGTGAATGAATAAAACGAGATGATGAACGTATTCAACTAGGAAAGGATTAAATTTTGTAAAACTAGTATTCGATCATAGGTGTCTTCGAAGCATTGCTCGTATATCCTGGGACTATCGAGTAAGTAACGCAGTTGTTAGGAAACGGGTACTAGGTAAGGATGGCAAATCGATTGGTGAAGTAGTGTTCACCCAAATTCTAATCTTCTGGATTCTTCATTTCCCTTTTCTCTCTTTCCAAATTTATTTCACTGGATTATATTCCTTGAATAACGTCTTCAAACCCTAATCTTTCTGATTACTGCTTATACTCTTACTACCTCTCCCACTATGGGATTTGAATCGACAATTCTTATCTCTGTGTTAATGTGGTATAGCAACTCAAACTGGTGTACGTATGTAAGGAGTTCTACGTTGTTACTGACCAACTGAACTTTTATAAACATATAATAGGAACACTCCCACTGGCACATTGTATATACGAGTTTTTCCAATGTTAAAGAAAACATCACGATGGTATCATAGATGATCCAGATCGATATAAGATATTATTGTCCTTTTTCTACATAGATCGCTTTTATTTATCATGTATGTACAGTAAATTACTTACTTACTTTTGGGAACGTTAGATCCCCAGAACTCACTCGGAAAAAGGACCTAATTTTGTAATTTTATTTAGAAAATTTGTATTTCTTTGTTTTCGGGCCGAAAACAATTTTATCACCTTCATGTCATATTTCCCACTTGGGAAATATCTTAAATGCTATTGGTCCATTGCGTCTTTTAGTATGCTATATATATATATATATATATATATATATATATATATATATATATATATATATATATATATATATATATATATATATATACGTTTTGATTTGTGGTTGCTGTTATTCCTCATTCCAAGCTTGGACCTCTTCCTCTAGTTAGCGGAGCTGGAACGTATCAGATAATCTAGCTTATTGATCTTTGGTCACTGAGACTTTGTTCTCGTTCGTAGATTAAGTGAACTTAGCACTTACTTACTTACTCTTGCCTGTTACTCCTCGTGGAGGAGTATAAACCGCCCACCTGGTACTTTCCATCCAACCCTTTCCTGGATAATCCTTTCCAATTGTTATTTATCCTTTTCATATATAAATGTAAAATAAATTACACTTGCAATTTTCCATTTTTTTTTTCTTTTAATTCTTTCTCTTTTATTAGTTAATTGTTGAACATTTAGATTTAGCATGTTTAGAATCAATTCGTCAATTTGCTAAAACAATATTACAACAATATAAACGATTAGATATCTTAATCCATAATGCTGGAATGATGGCTACTAGTTATATGGAAACTCATGATGGATTTGAATTACAAATGGGTGTGAATCATTTAGGTCCTGTATTATTAACTGAATTATTATTACCATTATTATATCATGGTACACCATCACGTATTATTATTATTGCATCAAATTTATATCAACAAGGTGATATTGATGTGAATAATTTAAATTTACGCGGTGAACAATATGGACCATTTAAAGCATATAATCAATCAAAATTAGCGAATATATTATATATACGTGAATTAGCTAAACATTTAGATGGTTTAAAAGTAATACCAATGGCTGTACATCCTGGTGCTGTAAGAACAGAAATATCAAATACAGGAGATCATAGATATCAGGTAAGAAAATAGAATATTAGATAATTTATGTATATATAATCATTTGTGTGTTTATTATGAATACAGTGATCTTGAGTATTGTTAAAAATATGAGGGCGGTTATCAATTCCCAGTTGCTCACATTGTGGAAGAATTCCCTCTGAAGGTACTTGAAAAGGGAATTGGATTAGAGGTGGTTATAGTGACCTGAGAGCATGTTATAACGCTTGATATTTCTTCGTCTAATGTTATAACGCTTAAACGGCTATCTAAACTAGATTCCCTCCCAGTGTCTATTATTCTACAGGAAGTCAACACAACTCAGATAATCAAGAACACGTAATTAGCCTGACTAGAACGTAAATATATTTCCACACCAAAAACCGACACAATCCAACAACAATGAACAATCAATAATTAGTGTGTGTACGACGATAATAAAGATAAGGGAGTATATAACTTATGTGACACCTGTGAGACTATCTACATGTCTGACTAAGCATATAACCAATCATGATCATTCTCGCCCACACATCAGAGCATGACCACAGTATCCAAGGGACAACTGCTTGAGATCGGCCACACACGACCTTTTTGTGATAGCTCCGTACTTATTGAGACCTTACCGGCGGAGATGGATATCCGTGGGAATTCCATGTTTATCTTTTTGTGCTAATGATGTATGGTAACTTGGACCGATGCACATATGTGCCAGGTGCTACATTGTAGCTGACTGACTGACTGACTTTGTTTAATATGTGTACTGTTTGATCTCAACTCACTTGTTTAATTGTATTGTACTTGTCATAAAACATGACGTTCCACAGAAATCGAGTCTTTGTGAGGTTATTGTCATATATTGTTGAGGTTTCTCAAACTAAAATAAAAAAAGTTGTCGCATACTTCATGATTTTCAATAGTATTCTCTGAAGGATGTTAAGCTATGATGGAATTAGTCTTTAAACTAAACAAAATCCTTTACAAAGTCACCTAACCTAAGTGAAATTGCTATTTCAATAGATTTCTTTCATTCGCTCACTTCATTTGATACTTTTTAGAGTGTTTGATTACTTACTACCATTTGAAATATCATTATTTCAAACCCTTTACTTTTCTAAACTACTTCGGTCCTATACTTTTTTTAATTGTAGTAATGTGATGATTTAAACTGACTTGGTAGGTTCTATTATGCTTAAACTGATTACAACAATAAGATGATTGTGTATTATGAAGATGTATTGCATCATGAACTGATTAAAGTTAACAAATTACGGATAACCAGATGTGACAATCTAATTCTGGGAACCCTGAGTAATACCTAACTATGGTCACTTCAAAGGATATAAGACTGGAAATTCAGATCATAAAGTCAGTGAGCAACAACGTAGGATCAGGAACATATATGCATCGGTCCAAGCTCCCAGACCTCATTAACACAAAAAGATGATCAACATATTCATAGAAGTAGTTAATTCAATGGTGGTATACACCCACACCATTGTGATCGATTCTGAGCCATTTCACTCAGAGTCTCCAACCATTGGTTACGATAGTCACGTGGACCCCAACCAAGTAATCTATATCTATCAATATGACTCAGACTAGAAGTCAGTGACTTCAAGCACTGATGCCACGTTTTGGTTTGACCGCCCCTAAATTTCTTCCAATTATCCCTAACACCGGTTAGCATTGCGCGTCGTGGTAATTGGTGTTCAGGCATACGTAGCACGTGGACCAACCATCTCAGTCGATGAAGATTTATAGCTTCATCAACTGATTTACCATCATTCTCTAATACCCTATGGCTAACCTCAATATTACTTACCCGGTGGTCCCAGAAGATGCCAGCAATATTTCTAAGGCACCTGTGGTCAAATACTATTAACTTACGAATATCTTCTACTCTCAAAGGCCATGTTTCGCAGCCGTATAGTAGAACGGAACGAACTGCCGCGCAGTTTGTCTTTTGACAACTTACGTCACCTATGACGAAGGCGTGATATCCGTTCGTCAATCAAGGGATCCGTGCTGAGATTTTGTCAGACACCAGCTCATTAGGGTATATTACTTTTAAATAATCTAATAGTGGGACTTTCGTCAATACGTAAGATTTCAAAATAGCAGTCAAGCATTTCCTCTATTTCAAACAGTTCAATTAATATATTCACAGTTTCATTTTAATGCTTATTTAAAAATTGAAAATAATCATCTTTTTTTCAAGTGCTGGCAATAATTAAATTCACTTGGTGTCGTTTGCTTGTGTATTCCCTGGAGTAAACATCAACTTTGAGATGCAGATACATCCAGCTAACGTGTCCCAAATTAGAACGAAACACGCGTCCTGTTCATCTTTGCTTATAAAATTTATGATTTAAGGCAATGTTGGGACAATCCGCACAGGATGCACATGCCAACAAGAGACTGATCAATTACACTCCTAAACAACAATGAGAAGATACAGGTAAAACAACACCAAGTGAATTTAAACTTCACCCCGTTACACGAGCAAGTTTCTATTACAATTCAGTAGCTAGGTGGATAACTCGATGGCATTTAAAACGAACGGTACTTAGTTCGAATCCTTTAGTGGATATCAATTCTGAAATACAGGTACATTCAGTTGATGAGTTACAAATTAGGACGAAACGCCCATCCTGGATTACACTATCCATCTTTTTTGCTGACAATAATTATTTGCATGAATGGTATACTTTAATTATTTCAATATCTACATTTAATCTGGTCTATTTGTGTATGATATATAGATTGTGAAATTGCCATTGAAATGATTCCATCATAATGAAATCATATAGATAGATGTATATGATGTATATAATCATACAAGTATACATATTCATTGTAAAAGAATTCCGATTCGATAATGATTGATTACCGCCAATTCGAAAAACAAAAATGTAAACGTAGTATTTGACAGTTATTGTTGTAAACATATTACCATCATCAATCTTGTTTATTAGTTGAATGGTATGTGTTTCGAATAAATCTTAAATAGTTTGAATGAATCAGTCATATCATAACAATCTTATCATTATCATCATCATCATTATCACGATCATCATTAGTACCTTGTAATGAATGGGTAATAAATGTGGGTATGTAATGAATAATCTATTCAGTAGACTATAGGGTATATCATATTTGTCTTGATTTTTTTTTTTTTTTTGGTAGAAAAAATAGATCAAAACTGATTAAACAATGCAAACATATTGATATAGTGTAATGTTTGTATGTCATGCCAACTATTTGATAAATACAATTGTGATTATATTAGTTGATATGACTAATTACTTATTAAATGAAATTAACTTTATATAGAAGCCAAAATGTGGTATCAGGCCTTAAAGTCACTAACTTCTAGTCTGAGACATGTCGGTAGATATAAACTAGTGGGTTGGAGTCCATGTGTCTATCGTAACCAATGGTTGGAGACCCTGGATGACATGACTCAGAATGGATCACAATGACGTAGGTATATACACTCTTTATCTTCCCTTAAACCATGAGATTAAAATCGCTTCATGACTTTCTTTCTACAAACTAATTCATTCTTCCTGTACTATATCTTTATATGCAATCTTTCTTTTATATATTACTACCATTGAATTAACTACTTCTATGGATATCTTGATCATCTTGTTGTGTTAATGGGGTCTGTGAACTTGGACCGATGCATATATGTGCTTGGTTCTACATTGTTGTTGACTGATTGAGAATAGTTCCTAAAGTGTATAGAGTCCTCATTGTTCACCTTGTTTATCATTTTACGATGTTCGAGGTGTTTGTCAGAAAAAGTTAAAGCTCCATTTCGTCTTTGATTACACTAGATTAAAAAAAAAAAGATTTTACAGTCTTCACGGAACTGAAGCCTCTATCTAGAATGGAATTCCAACATAATAGTGAATACTTCATCTATATTTAGACTGAACTCATAAACATGATCCGAATATTAATTCCAAGAGTTTTGTTATATGTTCCTTGAAACTGGTCATTCAAACAGGTGATAAATTATTATCTGAATAATTCCATAAGGGATTCATTTCATTCAGAATAATCATACACTTAACTGAATGAGTCTTGATTGACAAGAAACTTAAGTCTTATTACCAATTGAATCCAATTCAATATTGATTTATTTTTTAACTTTTTTTTTTCTTTTAGTTATTTCTACGTGCTGTTGGTATAAGTCCATGGGAAGGTGCACAAACTGCATTATATTGTACATTAATTAATGATCCAGTACCTGGTGGTTATTATTCTAATTGTGAAAGAGAAGAATTAACTGAAAAAGCATTAAATGAATCATTAAGTAAAAAATTATGGAATGCATCACGTGAAATGGTTGGTTTACCACCAAATTTATTAAATTTACCATAACAGAAAAAAGAAAGAAAAAAAGAAAGAAACGAGAAAAAAAGAAAAATAATTCTCATAATTTTTTTCTTTTTTGTTCTTTTTCTTCTTCTTCTTTATATTTTGTTAACAGTTTTATGTTGGTTATTATTCATGAGAAGAATTTTTTTCTTTTTTTTTTTCTCTCGTTTTACTCAATATGTACTCTTCAGTTTATAATAATAATCATAATAATATGATATAAGAATTATTGAATTTTGTTTTTGGTTATCTTATCAAAAAATAATGTATAAATCATCATTGTTACCTTTATGAATATTGATCATTGATATATAATAATAACAATAATAATAATAATAATTGACAAGAATCAATGACGGTTTCGGATTATTATATTCAATGTGTCAATTGGCATTCATGAGTTACCATGGTAACTACAATAATTGATATGAGATACAATAAAAGAATTCTGTTTTATTATTATTATTGTCATTATTATTATTGTTAACTCTACTCTTTATATTAATATTTTTCTTTCTTTATTTAAGGTTGATAAGGAATGAGTGAAAGAGAATGTTGGTTTGGATACACGAAACAAGAATGAAAAGTAGTAAAAAATGAAAACCAAATAATCAATATCATGAATTTCAAATAATCAACATTAGAATAAAGAAATTAGAAGATGATTGAATATTATTAGAATATATAATTAATTGCTCTGGTATGGATGAATGTGAGGAGAGTTCGTTCTTTCTCTCTCGAAATACTGTTATATGGTCATCGGGTACAGTCATTGTCAAGGAAGTTCTACTCACTAACTTTTCGTGGCATTACTATTGTTTACGAAATTCAGGGGACGGAAAGAAAATTCCGGTGATTTAAACGGGTTGGTAGACACAGAGATCCACTTAGGGGAGTTGAAGAACCTTGATTCCAAAGCAATGGTAAACATGGGCTCCAGTATTCTAAGGGAATAAGTGGCGTATGAACCTATTATTGGTCACCAGTTACCATGTGAATGCATCTCCCAAAGTTGCTCCACTGCCTTGTGAATTAGACCATTAAGTCGAAAGCCCCGAGTGTATGCTTTGGTTTGGTAATCTTGTCAGTACCACACCCCTCACATAAATCGAATGATTGATGCGGCGGATATCTATTTGGTGCCTCCTTGTATTAATGTTTATGTGTTTAAATAAATTATATAAAAATAGACGAAAAAATCAACAATATGGCTCATAGGAAATGGTAACTTTTAAAACATATAAGTCATTAGCTTATTTGTGATGGTGGAGATTTGTCGCTCAGGTGGATGATTTTGATGGAGTTTTGTTCTCTGAGCTAGATGGTTTGGTCGTGGAGCTCTCATCGTTCTTCTAAATGACATCATCAGTACAAACTTCAGATAGAAGTGAAGTGTTCGAATTAGTCCACATGTGGTTCACACCTTGTATTGTACACCTCGATGTTGATTGAGTCTTGTTAACTTCAAACTTGTCATTGTTTAGATTATACCTCCCATTGGTTTGATTTTTGTTTGTGCATAATTTTTCTGATTGGTTGATAAATTGAATCGATTTCAATGTGCCTGTTGATTGCTGATTAACCTGAGTGCCAAGCTTCTAAAAATTCTCTGGTATTTTTGAAATTTCTTCTATCCAAGATTTTCATATTTTTCCAATCAAATGAGTGTCCGCAGTTGTCCACGTGTATTGATATAAGTGAGGAAATATCATGACGTTTGACTGCAAAATCACTACAATCAATCCTATGCAAACCAAAGGATGAAATAACAAAAGAAGACAAACCAAACATCATCAACAAAATAAATTGTGTCAACTGCGACAAACACTACATCGGACAAAGCGGATGCCCTCTTCATCTTCGCTTGCATGAACATCAATTAGCAGTCAAACGTCATGATATTTCATCACTTATATCAATACACGTGGACAACTGCGGACACTCATTCGATTTGAAAAATGTGGAGATTTTGAATATAGGTAATTCCAAAAAAACCAGAGAAATTTTAGAAGCTTAGCACTCAGGTCAACCAGCAATCAACTAGCACATTGAAATCGATTCAATTTCTCAACCCATCAGGAAAATTATGCATGGAAATAAAGCTTCCTGAAGATTTTTGATTTTCTTGCTCTTCATCGTCGTTTGTCAAGTATTGTGAAGCGTGTCAGTCAGTCTTCGGCAACGTTGACGGTGTGTGTTTACGGGTTCAAATTTCCATGTTATATCACCAAAGCTGGATGAAATTATCATGACGAATTCTACAGTAATGGAAGTAGCATCAGTATGCGTAGTGTAATGAAGAAATAAGCTTAGACAAAATTATACGAGAAAGAACGAATCTTGGAATAGATATCTTGAGATAATTTTAGAACTTAAGATCTACGGGATGGCAGAGATTTAATGATTGTGAGGTAAGTCATCCAACATATGAAACCATTGATCGCAATTATCATGTGGACTGTAATAAAATAGTATGTATATGCCGGTACGAATCAAACTAACTGTCAGTAGCTTCATCAACTAATTACCTGCTTTCGTAGGGCTATCCTATATTTCTTCCAACTTGCTCCTACTCGAGTCAACTTTATGCGTTGAAGTATACAGTGGTTGGATATACGCTACGCGCGTTCGTAAAGCCTCAGTTGATGAAGATGCTGGTGTGTGGGTGAGGAAAATAGTGATTTACCTAGTTAGATTAGTAGATAGTCTGACAGATATTAAATGTTATATATTTTCCTACCCCTTGTTATTATTTCTACTTTCGTTTGTTGAGGTTGAAATATGCTCAAGTTATAGTTAGGTCAGTCACGTGTTCTTGATCCTAGCTGTGTTGAAGTCCTGCAGAATGGACACTAGAACGGTATCTGTGGTGTATGCCACTTATGTTAACAGATATAAGCATTATGCAATATCAATCAGAAGTGGAATGACTGTGGAAGATTGGATTGGAGAGAACAGAAAAGGAAAACACATAGGAATCAAAATGATAACCGAACAAGAAGATTAAAGAAGTACGTACAAGACATCTGAAAGACGATGCGCAAATAATGTATCTAATGTATTAATTTCATATTTGACTGAGTTGCCAGAACATCGACATGATGAGATGATCAGATGCAAACCGAATGATAAATCGGAAATACTGACAAGTGTATACTACTAGTCGAGATTTGGATTAAACTTCTGAGGAATTAGACATATGCTACTGGCTAAAACTGTAGCCAAGAGCTTTGAAAGATATTCATCTGTAGTTATGAATGAGTTAAACATATATTTTTGATTCGATTAGCTAATTACACGTTCCTACTCAATCTCCGTTTGCTAACTCAAGTATCTGGTTTGTGCATCTATTTAGTAAGAGTATGTATCAGTATAAGACTAGGACGACAGTAGGACACAACATACACTCAGTTAGTCAGGTTCATAGACACAGACACACTGAAAATCATCACAGCAAAAATAACTTGATTGTTCCTATTCAGTCAGTCAGCTACAATGTAGCACCAAGCACATATATGCATCGGTCCAAGTTCACAGACCCCATTAACACAACAAGATGATCAAGATATCCATAGAAGTAGTTAATTCAATGGTAGTAATATATAAAAGAAAGATTGCATATAAAGATATAGTACAGGAAGAATGAATTAGTTTGTAGAAAGAAAGTCATGAAGCGATTTTAATCTCATGGTTTAAGGGAAGATAGAGAGTGTATATACCTACGTCATTGTGATCCATTCTGAGTCATGTCATCCAGGGTCTCCAACCATTGGTTACGATAGACACATGGACTCCAACCCACCAGTCTATATCTACCGACATGTCTCAGACTAGAAGTTAGTGACTACAAGGACTGATTATACGTTTTGGTTTGGCAGCCCTTAACTTTCTTCCAGTCGTCCCCAACAATAATCAGCATTGCGCATCGTGGTAATCGGTGTTCAGGCATACGTAACACGTGGCCCAACCATCTCAATCGATGAAGATTCGCAACCACATCAACTGATTTACCATTATTCCCTAATACCCGATTATTCCTAGTAAGACGAGTTAAATCACATATTGGAAATATGGAAACTGTCAATATGAAAAACGATTTAGACCATCAAAATCATTGGGTGCATTTTCTACAATATATAAAAGACAACAAACAGAAGATTGTTTAATTAATTAGAATGCGTTCAAAGATTCTAACTCAATGATTGTGTTACTCATGAAATGAATCATGGGCTATACATTCGAAATGAACAAGCTCCTTTAAAAGGAAACAAAGTCTCAGCAGACAAAATATATGATGAAGAATTAAAAGGTGGAGGATATAAAATTGAAATCAAGAGCATTGATTAAAGCCCTGAATAAATAGGATTAGGAGTAGATTACAAAACAGCAACATTGAGCGTCATATATCACGCTACTGAATATTGATAAGTAGTGTAATGAAATACATAAAAAAGGAAAGGATAGACAAGATAAATATTATTTCATTAAAACTGATTCATTGTCAGGATTCAACAAAAGTGTAATTAAAGTTTCAAATAATTTCAAACGAGATGAATTATTCGTCTTCAACGTTTCAATAAATTCATAATTGTTTATGGCATCAACATTATCATTATTCTCAGGATCAACATTGTATAATTGCTTTTCTAATAAATACGGATCATATTCAAAGTGAACACCACTTAAAATACCACAACCATTCCCTAATTTCGAACCAATAATAGCCGGTTTTCCATTTTCCGTGCTGGAACAAAATGTATATACATATATATTTTACATTTATCGTGAGGCATAGGATCAAACTGGACGGGTTAAGCTATTACCCGTTCCGGTCAGGAATGGATCAAACAATGAACTAAAACACTCATTCACAACAGACATATCTCATTTACAGTACGATTAAAATCAAGGAGCATTACAAGTTTATTTCGTCCCATCAAATATTCATCAGTTCTTACCGACGACGCTATTAGCGATCAAGCCAGAGGATCTAAAGTCTTGACACGAATCCCTAGCCACTAGAACCACTAAGTTAACATGCACAGGAGCATTGCTTTAAACTTTGCTTGATTTTAATGTCATCAACATTTAAAAGGATTGATTATTATAGAATAATACTAGAGGTTCTTTTTAGCCATATCAATTAGCAACTGTGGTAAATTGCCGTGTGATATAGCCCTGACTAGATTGGGGACTTCTTTAATCCTAGTATTGTGATGATATACATATATATCTTGAAATAAGTTGAGTAATACCTCCAGTTAACTGAAAGTTACAACAATAAAATTACATTCAGTAGAATAGAGCTTGATATGTCAACATCGGATAAGAACATTGTCGAATTACAGCTCCAGTGATTTCATCATCTTTATTTACTGTCATGTCAAGCTTTTTAATAAACAGAATACACCCATAAAGACATTAAATAGGAAAGATTAAATCAAAGCTGTACAGCTTCAATATTCAAAATAATTCGTGTCGAGTAGAGACAGTTATCTACCTCAGTACAATTGAAGATGGTCGAACAACTTCGTGGATTAGTTGAGGTTAGACATTAACACCATTGGATGCCGGCTCGGCGGTCTAGAAGTTAAGTGTTCGCGCGCAAGACTAAGGGCCCTAAGTTCGAATCCCGCTCGCGGGATCGTAGATGCGCACTGCTGAGGAGTCCCACAATAGGACGAAACGGTCTTCCAGTGCTTCAACGGTTTCAATGGTGATCTAACATCAATCGGTTCATGATCTTAATCAAAATACAAAATATATTCACATACTATGTATATAAAATTTGTGAATTCTCCCAATTGACA